TCATCTCGATTGATAAACCTGAAGACTTTGCTTCCGTGGATCACCGGTCTTACGTCAACTTTTCCAAAGCTGACTGGAAAGGCTTCACGGATGTTGCCGAGAGCGCCTTCACTGCCCTGCCCATACCAACCGACGTTCATGTAGGTGCACGTAAGTTCCGCAGGGTTGTCAGCTTTGCTGCAGCTCGCTTCATCCCAGCAGGATGTATTAAGGATCCACGTCCGAACTTTCCTGCTGAAGCGGCTGTTCTAGCCGATGAGCGCGACAACCTTCGTCAGGCCGATCCCGGAAATCCCCGTATAAGGGATCTCAATTCGGAGATTCGGCAACTTGTCAACGTACGTAAGCGGAAGAAATGGGAAGAGCATTTGAAGACCTGCAACTTCGCCTCTGGTGTGAGCAAGCTTTGGTCAACCGTTAGGTCGTTGTCCAACCCGACGAAGCGAGATAGACTTTGGTGACCACGCTTCGTCGGACCCGGAGCGATGCGCGAGCTATTTTAGCCGGCAGTTCATTCTGCATCTTCCGGTAGATAAAGTCAAACGTCGAGTGACCAGAAGGCTGCCCAAAATGCCAAAACCCAGTGCGCCTCTTGTTTTCACCAGCGATGAGGTTAGGGTAGCCATCGGGAAGGCGAAAGCCTCCAAAGCCATTTGACCCGACGGAATATGTATGTTGATGCTGAAAAATTTGGGTCCTGCGGGAGAAGAATACCTAACAGAGGTCCTCAACCTGTCTATGGCCACTCTCGTCATTCCAGACATTTGGAAAATGCTGAGAGTGGTCCCACTGCTCAAACCGGGGAAACCAGCCAACAAAGGAGAGTCTTATCGCCCGATAACCCTCCTTCGCCATAAACACTCAGATAACTCGTGGCCTAAACCGAAACCGCCCCTGTGAGAGAACTATTCTAGTAGCGTTGGACCTGTCCAAGGCGTTCGACACTGTCAGTCATTCAACGCTACTAGAAGATATAGAGGTCTCCTCACTCCCACAGGGTCTCAAACGGTGTTCGGCGAATAACCTGAGTGGTCAACACTCGTCAGTAATTTTCAGAGACAAAACTAGCAAGCCACGTAAAATTAAACAGGGGGTACCACAGGGTGGTGTCCTGTCCCCGCTACTGTTTAATTATTACATATCAAAGCTTCCTCAGCCACCAGAGGGTG